TAAGAATCCAGCTAAGCTTTTCCCCAGCAGTTCTCTTTCTTTCAGTTTTTGGGCCACACCCGATAGTGCTCAGGTCTTGCTCCTGGCCCTGTGCTCAAGGATCACTCCTTAAGGGGCTCCGGGGAACTGTATATTAAGGCTCCAATCCAGGTTTGCTGAACGCAAGGCAAATGCCCTACCCATTATACTGTCTTCCCCCCCACCCCCCTCTGTTTTTCTTTGGACCTATACCCAGCAATACTCAGCAGGCTTGCTCTCTGAGCTCAGGAATCACTCCTGGAGGGGTTCGGGGGGACTTTATGGGGTGCCTGGGGTTGGTCACATGCAAAGTAAGTGCCTTACCCACTGTACTATTTCTCCAGCCCCTGGACTATCTCTCTGGCCCAGCAGTTCTTCAAGAAAGTTCTCAGCCCTCCCTGACCTCCAACTCAGGCCACCCTTGTTTCATTTGCTCCTAATAAGGGCAGCATGGAGGGTGGTGGGAGGAAGTGGAAAAGGACAGAGCTTCAGGAATTCACCACTCGCCGACTTCACATTTCCCATCACAGGGTCCCCATATGAGGGCTTTGGGTGAGACTTCAGGGAGGGGCTTGCTGCCTCATCTCTTCCGAGGAACTAGGCCGGGTATCCACAGAGTCCCAGACAGGAAGTCAGGGGGCTGGGGTTTGAGTGGGTCCGGGAGGAGTTCTGGAGAGGACTAAGGTGCCCCTGCCATGGCCAGTGTGATTGGCAGGCCCTTTGACCACCTTCTGTCCCAGAGAGGTTATCTACCTCCTGCTTCTGGCCTGAAGCAGAAACAGAGTGGTACTGGGGAGAAGACAGAGACCCCCAGATGGAAGGTGAGGTGAACACTTGGGTGTCTGAGGAGGGCAATGGCTTACCCGACCGCTGAGCAAAGCCAATTTTTAGTTTGTCAAAAGCAACCCAAATCCCGGAGTCAGGACTTGGTATCTTGTGACCCTTCCCCAGACTGCCCACCCATCCTAACCAACCACTGGGTTCTGGCCTTGAAAACTAACTCACGCAGGGACCCTGCCAGGGTGTGGCTGAAACCCAACTCTGACCACACCCTGGCCCGCACCCAACTTTCAGATTGACCACCGCGCCCCCTGCCCCCATGATTTCCGTCTAAAAGCTACCGCTTGACCTTGCCACTGACCCCAAACATCAGAAACCATCAGAGAACAATTTAATGCCAAACTCCGGAGTGAAATAGGGCATCAGAGAGGACACAAGGAGGCGGGGAGTGGGGAGATTAGGGCGATGGACAGAGGCTTCCCAGAGTATCCCGGGGGACCGGGGGTGGGGGGGGGGACCCACTCTAAGGTCGGACGGGCCTGGTGCGGGGCACGTCACAGGCGCTCGCGGAATGCAAGTGGCCTGAAAGAATGAAGGAAGGAAGGAACGGGGTGCGATCCAGCGTGGCCGGCCGGCCGGGCAATGCTGCAGAGGCAGGAAGCGGGGCGGGGGCGCACCGAAGCTGCAGCGGTGCAAACGCAGCTGGGGGCAGCGGGAGAGCAGTGGGGTCAGTGACTCCGCTGGGTGGAGGGGCCCCCCAGGCGGGGCGGCTGGGAACCGGGAGGCCGCGCTGCTGGCAGGGCGGCGGGGGCGCCGCGAGGCTCCGGATGGGCTGGTAGCCCCGCCCGCAGGCTGCGGAGGGAGCCGGAGCCAGAGCGGAGCCAGAGCTCAGACATCCGGGCGCCAGCGAACACCTGCGAGCGGCCCCCAGGGCCCGCGGGGGGAGCGCGGGGCGCCGGGTCGGGGGCGGGGCCGGGGCGGGGCGCGCTCGGCTCCGCCCTCCCGGGCGCCGGGCCACGTGGGCCGCGCCGCAGCCTTTGCCCCGCCGGGAGAAGCTCGCTGCTGGGGCAGAGCCGCTCTCCTGGGAGACTCGGGAGCTGGGCTGGGGAACCCTAACTTGGAGGCAGCTGTACGAGAAAGATAGAGAGGCAAGAGGTTTTAAGGGTGTAGCCTGGGGAATGGGAAAGAGTGGGAAGGGGGGCATGAAAAGGGGTAAGGCCAGGAAAACAGAAAATTAAAGACTGTCATCGGCCGCTGCGAGAGTACAGCGGACAGGGTGTTTGTCTTGCACGTGGCCAACTCAGGTTTGGTCCCCAGCACTCCTTATCGTCCCCGAGCACTGCCAGGAGTGATGCCTGAGTGCAGCGCCAGGGGTAAGCCCTGAACATCGCGGGGCGTGGCCCAAGAAAGTTCTAAATAGCCGTCTGGAAAGGACTCCTCAGTCTCTGGGGTCAGACTTGACTCAGAATCTCTGCTTTATTTCCTGGGAGCTACCGGGCAGCTAACTTCTCGTGTTTTGGGGGCTGTTTGTTCATGCACAAAGCACAAATCCCTAAGAGAGCCAACGCAACCCCCCAGATAGACTTTGGAAGAGTCTGGGAGATTTTGGCTGTTATTATCATTTTTTTTTATTTGAACCACAGACTTGCAGGAGAAGTGCTATCATCCCCGTTTCACACACAATGGGGAGACTTGGGGTAACTTATTTAACAAGCACCCATCAGGGATGGAGTATGTTCCAGGGGAGGGAAGTGGACAGGAAAAAGAGCTGGCCTCGAGTGAAGGGCTTTGAAGCTAGATGGAGCCTGGTTTACTCTTCTTTGCTATGTGACCTGGATCAAATTTTCCAGCCTCTAAATCTGTTTTCTTTTGCAAAAGGGGAATAATTATACCCACTTTGCTGAGTTGTGCTGAGGAATAGGGGGGAAAATTAAGATAAAACAGAGCCTGGCACTTGGTAGGTACTCAATAGGTGATTATGACAGCAGACGCCATCCTCTCCCTCACACGGCTTTCAGACCTAGGGCCAAATTGCTTTCACTCTCTAATGACTAATGAATTGGCATGCTGGTTTGAGCCTTTGTCCCAGCCACCTGAACAGTTCAGTCTCAGCGGACCTGACAGGCAATTTCCTCGGAATTAGCTTAATAATACCTTGTAGGTGTGTGATGCATTTCAAAGAACTTTCCCACCATTATCTTCTGTTCAGAGAGCTGCAGTACTAGAACTGCTGGGCAAGGTAGAGAGTCGCTCGGAGAGGTGAAATGGTTTGCTCCAGGTCACATGGCAGATGAGCAATTCAGCTTTCTTTAGCTTTCCAGGGACCCGAGACCTCAGAGGGAGCCGGAAGTAGCATGCTGTAGCAGCAAGGGTAAAGAACATTGAGTTGAGCGTGGGGCCCCACTGCTATTGGAATGTTTCAAGATCTCTTTTGCAGATGTGGAAACTGAGGCTCAAGAGTCGCTGTCTCTATCTTACAGTTCTGCTGGTTTTCGCAAAGCAGGAGTTGCACCCCGTGTGTCTCTAGAGACAGCAGAGCAAACATAACAAAGTAACCCAAAGTAGACTTAGCCTGAGTCCTGCACTTAATTGATTCGCAAAAAGCCCTCCTCACAAATACGGAGGGCTTCCTGGTGGGTTGGAGATATTCTGTTGCTTTGTACAACCGTGTGTGTGTGTGTGTGTGTGTGTGTGTGTGTGTGTGTATTTTCTGAAGACAGTGTTCATAACTTCCATCAAATGATCAGAGGCAATAAGAAAACAGGTTAAGAGTAAGGTTGAATGGGAGGACGAGTGGTAAAGACAGGGGTTGCTTCCCCACCATATGCCCCTGTTCACCCCTGAAAACTCACCAGGGTTGAGGTGTGAAGGGTGATGATGTGACCTGTTTGTTATGAAATATTGAAGTAATTTATGCCAGGGGCCAACACACAGATGAGATCATATCATAAACAGGAATCTAGTGAGGCCAGACACCTGGTGGAGCCCACCTGGGGAGCTGTCAGATGCAGGCTGCATGGAGGGTCTGGCCTGTCCCACTTTCAGACCTGACCCCAATTGAATGCTCAGTCTCAGGCCCTGTTCCTGTCCCCCTTCCCTCCCCCCCCCATCAGTCGCGGTAGTTAAGGTTAAACTTCCATCTTAGAAATAAAAAGAAATTAAATTCCATCTTTTCTCTCAATGGGTCTATGAAAAGCTTGTTCAGACCCATTATTCACTGAGCCTCAGTTTCCCCATTTCTGAAGTAGGGATACGGATGCTTTCAAAATCTCAGTGGAGACGCGCTGGGAAGGAAATGCCAGAAGTGAAGTCTATGGGGATCTTATAAAATTAACTGGTGCAGGGTCAGAATCTGTAACCATCTGGTGGTAGGTACCATCATTTACCATGCAACCAACACCAAAATCCTGATCAGAGATACCAGGGATTTGAGGGAAAAGACCCCTTTCTTACTTTTTTCAACTTTGAAAACCTAAGAGAAAAGTCGAACCAGAGGGCCTGGAAAGAGAAATGATGGTCCAGTCCAGAGAGACAACACAGCATGTACAGCACTTGTCTTCCACATGGCTAACACAGGTTTGATCCCCAGCACCCCATATGGTCCCCTAAGCCTCCAGGAGTGATCCCTGACGTCAGAGCCAGGAGAAGTCCTGAACACCACCAGGTATGGCCTCCACACCAAAAATAAATGAATACTTAAAAGAGAAAAACATAAAAATGAAGCCTCAGTCATCTCTGAAATGGGTCTGCCTATCACCCCCAAAGGAGATTCCATTCTTTACCACACTTGCCAGGAAAACTCACAAATAATAGCATTGAGAGGACAGCCATCTGCCAGCATTGTAAAATAGCTCTCAAGGGATCTAAGAATCAGGAGACTGATTTCTCTCCTGAGCCCCCAACACGTGGGGTGAGCTTGTGCCAGCCGCTCCCGCTCTCCGGTTTTCCCTTATCTGTAAAATAAGAGGACAGCACCTGGGACTTCTCTGCACTCAATCCTGTCTGTGGGTGTGGGACTGCCATAATGAGCCCTTTCCAGTCCTCCCTCCACCCAGGCTTGGCTGGGCATTTTCCCATCTCCCTTTTAAGGAAATAAGCACATTTGTTTTCCCTAAGCCCCAAGAAGGACATTTTATTTCCCCTAAAGATCAGCCTTGAGAAAAAGTGTTAGCACATGAAAGAAAGCAAATCATATACACAAGTGTTTAAAAACGGTTTATTATGCAAAATGTTAACTTTTATAAAAAGTTTAATATACATCGCATGGTTACAGAAAGTCACCTTCCTGCAAAAAAGGTACAAAAGCTATATACTCTATTATAGAGTTCATAATCAGGGCAACAGAGCCTTTCTCCAAGGAGACCTGAAGACCAGCTCTACCGCTGCCGTGGCAGAGTCAGGAGAGCAGCCACAAGCCCCCCCACACCTCCACACTCTGAGAAGACAGTCTCTAAAACTTGGGCATGGGGGCGTGGGGCATAGGATGAGGGCTGGGTGACGTTGCCCAGCTGGTGCCCAGAGCTTGCTCTGGCTCTTTAGGCCACCCAAGTTCACAGTCCTTCGCTCCCGGGCGCCAGGTCCAGCCTTGAGACAGGGGCTTGGGGAAGTCAAGTGGGCAGGGCGAGGTTGGGGCCCATCCATGCCCTCGGGCTTCCGGCTGTAGAGGGTCCCGGGGTCCCAAGCGGAACGCGCGCCAGCACCTGCATTCTGGGCGGGGGAGGAAAGAAGACCAGGGAGCCGTCAGTTTCCGCTGAGCGCGCCGAGGCGGGGGCCGTCCGCAGACTGGCCGGCGCCGGGGAGGAAACTTGGTCTCTACCTCCAGCTGATAACTCCGCGCCCCACGCCGCCCCCACCCAGTTGGCGCCAAAGGACCACAGGCGGAGCTTGCATTAAACCTTCCTCTTGGACCTGACACTAGTTGGGAGGGGGCTGCTGCAGGCTCCCTTTAACGACTCTGAACAGACGACTATTCTATCGGGTGGACCTGACTTTTTTTCGGCTCTTGCCGCCGGGAAGAGCAAGGGTATCGTGCATTTGGGGTTGAAAAGCACCTAAGGTGGGAAATGATTCCTTCATTCATCTGATGTGACCCATGGGCAAGTCCCTGGCCCCTCTGGCCTAGGCTTCCCTAAACCCGGAGGCGAGGGTGTACTAGGTAATCGCTTAAGGGGCTTCACTGCCATCTCCAGGATTTGGCTTGTCGGGTAAGTCCCACCCCGCCCTCCCGGAGGCAGGGATATTTATTCACCTGAAGGCGCCTGGACAGCCAGGTCAGTGGCAGAAGCTCCTCTTGTCGTTGGAGATCACAAGTTCTGGAGCGAGATCCGCTGTCTGAAAGAAGGAAAAAGAGAGAAGGGTTACGCACGGCATTTAGGCGTCCCAGGGTTCCAGCAGCATCCCTGTCTTGGAGCTCAGCACCGCCCCAACTCCTGCGCTCGCCCACGCGCACCTGGATGGGAAGATGCGGACCGTCTGGGGGTCCGGGGGCCGGCTCGGCCAGGACCACCTGCAAGTCGAGTATGTAGTCGATGACTCGCTGCAGGATTTCCACCTGGCTAAGCTGAGTGCCTCGCGGAACTCCGGGTACCAGTTCCCGCAGACGCGAGTAGCAGTGGTTCATGTCGTCGAGTAGGCTCAGCGGCTCTTCTGCAGCCGGACCCTTGCCTCGGCCCCGCGCGATGGCCAGGCTGCGTTCCGACAGGCAGCACACCGCCTCATAGCAACCGCGCACCGGGCTCAGAGCCTTCATGCTGAGGAACTAGGCTGGAGATGCGGCACAGGACGAGAAAGCCGTGGGCCCCTAGAGCAGCTGGCTGTGCGCTCACGCGCGTGGCTGCAGGCTCTTATAGAGCCCGCCTCGAAGACACGCCCCCATATGCGGAATAGCCGCTCCGGCCCCGCCCCCGCCGGCCCTGGGCGTTCACAGCTTGGTTAAATTGCAAACAGGCATCCTCCGGCTGGTCTGACGCCGAATACCGCGGAGCCGCGGATTCAAAGAATGAGGAAGCACTGATACCGGGGAGAGGCCGGCCTCTGCCAGCAAGGATTTAAAAAATCACTTAAAACCATTAACTTTAAGAATTTGCCTTTTCCTGGCAGCGACCCAGATCTTTGAGCTCCCTTTGCCCCCTGCCAGTCCACCCACAGCCCAACGCTAGTTCGAACCCACAGCTCCTCCGAGGTCATAAATCCCTGAACAGCAAAGACGCCTTTTTTTTTTTTTCCCTAAGCAAAAGATTTTTCAAGGGAAACTTGTAAGGAATTAGTGCCGCCTTGTTCCCCAATTTGCTGTTCGTCTGACCTCCAGACTCACTGGCGTCAGGAATTATCTTGTGACCAGAGGGGGAAAAAAATTAATTGCGGTGAAGCTGAGGTTACAATGAAGAAAACAGATTTCTAGGCGCTGAGATTGCAGAAGGAGGAGGGGAATGGGGTTTGTGCAAAGAACACTATTTATTTGAGCAACCGGGGAGAAGGGGGGAAAAAAAGAAAGAAATCAGCCTGAATCTGTGCTTTATGCATGGGGAAGGAAAAGAGCTCCCACTCTCTGGCTCCATGCACTTCATAAGGAGCCAAATATATGCCCCGTATGTTTTGGAAGTGAGTTTCATTAGAATTCTAGACAGGGTTTTTAAGGAGGGAAGGGGCAGGGGTAAGGAAGGAGGGGGGTTCTATATAACCTTTTTAGGACACCCCATGGAGTTAGGAAATCTTAACTCTATTTCCCCTCTCCCTCCATTCCACATACCTCTATGCAGAAAACAATAGTTTGGTAGTTTCATCTCTGTCTCTCTGTCCCTTTCTGCTATGGAAAGGCAGGCCACCTGGACTTGATTATTCTTAGCCTTGCTGAAATAGCTCCAGCTCTATCTGAGAGCCTAAGAAAGGGAGAGAAGAGAGTCTCACTAAGCCCTGGCAAAGGGACATTGCACACAGTATTCTTTGCTTGTCTTGTCACTTCCCAGAACTTTTGAGAATTTGCAACCTGAAAAGGTTTCCCCAATGGCTACTTCCTTAATCAATTAGTTGGTAAATATTTATGGAGTCACTTCACATAAAACAGTAGCTCCTGCTCTCAAGAATCTCACAATTTGGGGAGACAAGATTAACACAGGAAGCAATTAAGTGTTCAATAGTATGTGGCACTGATTAACAGGACAATGGGCACTCAGAGTTAGGAGAGTTTCAAAATAGTCATATAAAAAGGACACTAGAAAGGGAATCAGGAGTCGTGGGTTCAATATCCTAGACCTACCAAAAAGTTGTCAGGGACTCTTGCACAAGCCCAGGTACCTTAGTTGTTTTGTAAATAAAAAGGAGATATTAGGGGGCTGGAGCCAGAGTACGCTGGTTAGGTGCTTGTCTTGTAGGCAACTGACCAGGTTCAATCCCAGCACCCTAAGTGGTCCCTTGAGCACCGCCAGAAATAAGCTCTGAATGCAGAATCCAAAGTAAATCTAAACACTGCTGGGTGTGGCCCAAAAATCCAAAAATTAAAATAAAAATTAAAAGGAGACATTAGATTATAACTAGGTGATAATTGAGAACTCTTTCTAGCTCTAGAAGTCAAAGCCTTTATGGAACTTGGACAGGCAGGTACGGAATGGTCAAGGATCCATAGGGGATATAAAAATGTCCAATGCCACACCACAAGTAATGGCAGAGGCAGTCTTAAAACCTCTTTCTTTGCCAGCAAACTACAGGGCTCTGTGTCCCAAGAAAGGGCTCTTTGAATGTTTTCTTCCTGAAATATTAATGTTATAAGGAAAATCTCTTTAGTATAAGAAGAAGGAAAATAAATTTGAATGGACAAATCCTCTATATATACAGCAAATACCAAGTGACGAGTGTGCCAGTTACTTGATTATGGAGAGAAAATGGTGGCTATGTGGACTCCTGAGTGACCAAAAGAAGACTCATTCTTGTTTTATCATTTATATTTTTGTTTCTGTGCAAAATGGTCAAACCTAGCAGGTTCGAGAAAAATTCATGGCCTTCAGGGGTTTGAGTGACAGTATAGTGGGTAGGGTGTTTACCTTACATGCAGCTGACCAGGGTATGATCATCCCATAGGGTACCCTGAACATCCCATATGTACCCCAGGCAGATTTATGTTTATATCCACACTCTCTCTTCTATTTTTTTTAGGCCACACCTGGTTGTACTTGGAAGCTGTTCCCAACTCAATGCTCAGGGGGTCACTCCCCATGGTGCCAGGGATTGAACCTGGGTCTCCTACATGTGCTTAACATATGAAGCTCTTCCTCTAATCCCCATCCTTTTTTTTTCTCTCTCTCCCTCCGCCGCTCAACTCCCCCACTCCCTTTCTTGGGGTGACACCTGACTGTGCTCAGGGCTTACTCCTGGCTCTGTGTTCAGGAATCACTCCAAGCGGGACTCAGGGGACTGTATATGGTGCTGGGGATCAAACCTAGGTGAACAGTGTGCAAGGCAAGCACTTCAGTCTCTGTACTACATCTCCAGCCCCCACTCTTCTTTTTCACAATGTAGGTCAACTCTCTGCCTTGATTTCTCCATTTATAAAATGGAGCTAATAAAATTTACCACATTCGACAAAAATTATTGAATGCCTCGTCTCTGAAAGGTGCCTGCCAGATTCTTTCCATCAGTTCTATTAGTCTCTTTGGTGGCTGGGTACCCAGCATGGGGCCAGGTGTGGGTGGGGAAGGTGCTAGGTCCCCTGGTTACATAGTTCTGCTCACTCCTTTGCCCTCCTCCATTACTATTTCTGATACTTTCCAAGGCCTGTAGAGCTCTTTGCAAAGCCCCTTTAGATTTATTATTTCCCCAAATGCTTTCAGGTTGAAATGCCCACGGGCAAGAGAGCAATGCAGCAGAATTGCCAAATAGAATTCAGTCCAGGCCATACGAATAAGTTTCAGTGTTGTCTGGGATGCAAATCCTTCCTTCCAAGGCCTCTTTTTTGGTAAAATTGAGGAGGAAGGTGGGAGCAAATGACCTTGAAAGTTCCTCTCCATTTTAAGATTCTAACTCTGAAAGAAGCAAGTTATGATTGAGAACACTGAATCAAGCTTGAACCCAGAGGTTTCTTTTTCCCAGCAGTGGACTGGAAGGCTAGCTCAGGCCTTCTGCAACTTGTTTAGCGGTGGTGGGGCCCCAGCCTCTTATTCCAAATGTCTCTGAACTTTCTGTTCCCAGTTCTGCTCCTTTTACCAGCTTTTCCCCCCTCTTGCATTTTTTATTTTTATGAAAGGATGTCATTAAGGCTTTTGTCTGCGCTGTTTTTGTTTCAGAACTTTTCTCACAATCCTATTTTTTGTTGAGGAATCCGCTCCTTTGCCCAGCTGTGGGTCCCGGTCCCACAGCTGTGTTGATCTAAGACTCAGCCCCAGACAGCCTGGCGCCAGGGTGGGACGTCATGCGTTCACACAGGGATGCGTGTCCCAGGCAACCTTTCCTCGGGCAGTCACCGGCCGGCGACTGCCGCCCCCACCAATGAGCGCCCGACACCCGAGAAAGGGGCGGGGTCAGCGCCGCCCAGACCCGCGAGCGGCTTGTGAATTGCAGATGCTGAGAACTTGATAACGTTCCTTGAATTGGGGCCCTTTAAAGTCCCCCCGCCGCCCCCCACCCCGACACCCCCCCTCCGCGCTTTTAGTTCTTTCTTTTCTTTCTTTTATTTGTTCTCTTTCTTTCCGCCGTCTTCCTTTATCTACAATGTATATGGTTTTTCTTCATCGTCTTCTTCCTTTTTAACTATCTCCTCCCAGTGTCAGGAATAATTTTGTAAGCATTTCCAGGAACTGAATCTTCCTTTGCCAAAAAAATTTTTTTAAGAAAGAAAAAAAAATTAGCGTTGTGCTCTCTGGTTTTTCTTAAAAACTTGGCAAAACTATTAAGTTATATTGTTTTGTCTTTAAAATTTTTTAAAGTGGTGGGGGGTCTCTGAGCTGTTGATTTCAAAGCCCAAGTAATGATGATGAGAATTGCAGATGTCTTTTTGCCTAAACTGATCTTCTATCTATCTACATATCTATTTCCCCCAGTTTTGTTGTAAATTAGGGGAGTCAAGGGAAACTCAGAAACTAGCCCCAGATTACTTGGTAATCTGCTGCACTGTGGCTAGAACTGACATCCCGGGTAAGTTGGCTTCCTGTCCACTCTGCCCCGGAAGTCTTATTAACATTAGTATTGGAGTGGTCTTCTGTGGTCTCATCCCCAGGGGCTGATTTCCTATTATATACCTATTTACTCACCAGTAAAGGCGTGCTGAGGATCTCCCAGTTTGTAAACATAGAATGAATCTCTTCTCCCTTCAGAAAGGACAGTCAGTTCTCATGGTACTGCTAGAGAGTTCCATAATACAAGGAAAGCACAGGGAATTCTGAATGAAGACTGGGCTCAAATCCCTGTATAGATTTTACCCATTGCCTCAGATGTCTCTCTCCTCTGTAAAATGGGACTATTCACTCATAAGTAAAAATACTATTCACCAAGCCCAGGGAACGGTCGCAGCTTGTGAACCCTCAGCGCTGTGTTCCTTGTATGAGAGAGTTTTGATGTGTGTGAATAAAACCTTGGAAAAATCTGTCCTGTCTGTGTACATCTCAGTCGGCAGCTGAGCTCAGGCTTGTGGCCACTTAACACTACTCCCTTGAAAATGGTAGGAAAAATACTATTTCTCTGTAAAATGGGAGGCTCATGGGACAAGGAAAGGAAAAGTGTGATGGGAATCAAACAGTTATTTCTATGTGCATGATGTGATGTAGACTTGGGTGAGTGGATAGATAGTGCCAGGTGAGTATAAAGAGTGTTTCTG